AATTGGTCAAAGGTTTCTCAAGGCTTCCCAGGGAAGGGAATTAGCTTGAGATGGTGGCAGCGGACCAGAGCTAAGCTGGTAGTTAAGCTTAGAAGTCTTCATGCAGGCCCCCACATTTTGTACCCTAAAGTTCAAAGGGGGGATACAGCCTTGACATGAGCTCTGAAGGGGGCTCGAGCAGATGATGGAGCAAAGGCAAGAGAAGGCTGAAGGGAAAAGTCAAGACTTGCAGATGCAAGCTGGACTGAAGAACTTGGTTGGGTATGGAAAGTGGTCAGTGGAAGCATGTGACTACAAGAACCAGGCAGAGAAAAAGACCAGATAGTGAAGGAGAAATAGAGCTCAGGAACAGATTTGGTGAGTTGGAAAATGAAGGGGCACAGCAGACTGTAACTGAAGGAGGGAGGGCAAGAGAAGAGCAGCTAGTCCTGTAAGAAGAGGAGAAGAGCCAATGGAGATACTGAGCCCCAGGAGGCTACAGAATGACTTGCAGAAGATTGCAAGGGAGAATAAAAGACAAGAGGACTCACAGCCAAAAAGAACAGGAGGAAGGCCAGAGAATCACACTATCATCAGGAAAAGGCAGGTCTACATGACTGGGGACTCCCTACTAAGAACAAGAGACAGGCCTGTCACCAGAGCTGACCCAGAGAACAGAAGGGTGTGTTGTCTTCTGGGAGCTAAGATACGGGATGTGGATCTGAGGCTGAAGAGGATCCTAATGGGAGCAGAAAAGAATTCACTGATTATCATTCACGTGGGAACAAATGACACAGCTAGATTCTCGATGGAACGTATCTAGGGAGACCATGCCAGGCTGGGAAACGTGTAAGGAAATGGAGGCTCAAGTGATCTTCAGTGGGATTCTGCCTGTCCATAGAGGAGGAGAAAGAAGGCAAGACAAGATTATGATGATCAACAGATGGCTCAGGCAATGGTGCTATAAGGAGGGCTTTGGGATGTTTGTCCACTGGGAAACATTCATGGACAGAGGACAGTCCTCATGGGATGGACTCCACCTGAGTAGGGAGGGAAATAGACTTCTGGGATGGAGGTTGACACAACTTATTAAAAGAGCTTTAAACTAGGAACTCAGGTGAAACTGTTGGGAGATACTCATGTAATGTCTATGCCGGATTTTAACATTAAGAGGGAGGAAAATCAAGTAAGAAAGGATACAGCAATGGAGAAAGGAACAGTACTGGTTAGAAGAATGGACATTAAGAGGAAGGATAGTGCTGATGCCCATCAGAGAGGAGACACTGGCAGTAGAATGACTGTAGCCAATCAAGTGAGAAATGTGGATGAAGCCAAGCAGGAACAATTATGATGATTATACACCAATGCAAGGAGCCTGGGTAACAAAATGGAGGAACTAAAACTACTGGTGCAGGAAGTGAAACCAGATATTATAGGGATAACAAACATGATGGAATAGTAGTCATGACTAGAGTATAGGTATTGAAGGGTAAGTTCTGTTCAGGAAAGACAGAAATAAAGGCAAAGGTGGTGGAGTAGCATTGTATATTAATGATGAGGTAGACTGTAAAGAAATGGAGTGGGTGAGGTTCTGTGGCCTGCAATGTGCAGGACATCAGCCTGGATGATCACGATGATTCCTTCTGGCCTTAAAGTCTGAGTCTACTAGTTCAAGCCTTATCAAGCCAGGTTGCTTCCAGGGTTCCTGCATCAGGACTGTTGAACCAAACATTCTAGACTGCAAAGGCTTGGTTCCTGAGAATTCTACCTTTGAACAAATGGCACCCCTTCTGGAAGAGAATCACACTTTCCTCTGCAATGCTATCTACATCATCATCAAGATGTTCCTTCTGAATGTGGCAGCAGACATTACAACCTGCAAAGCCCTGTGAGATGCTTCCTTCAAGATGGCCAAGGTCACCCCCCATTATGCAAGTTCTTCTCTATTCAGAAGTGGTGTAACAGATCCTGAAACCCCTGAAAGATAACCCCCAAAATGTCTTCTGAGCAGTAGTCTTTTTGGAAGCAGGGTTCAGGTAGAAGCCAACAGGATTCAGAAGGTATGTGCCAATCCAAAAATCAATCCTTTCAGAGCCTGTGATGGGGTCCACAGATGGCTCTTCCCCCTACTCGCTCTGGAGATTAGCTCTTTTAAGGTACTGAGCCCTCCTCTCAGTCTCTTCACCAGTCCTCACCCCGGAGGCCCCTCTCACCCCAGGAGCTGCAGCTTCCTCTTCATGACTTGGCTCTTCAGCCAGGTCACTATGATCCTCCCTCCCAGGGTACCAACGTTTTTCAAAGTCTCTCTCCACACTAGCAGTCTCAGGCAGTTTTCAGCCCATGGTGCCACTCTCTCAGTGGCTGGCAAAGGAACCTGAGCCCACCCTCTACTCAGGGACCATCTAAGTCAACAGCCAAGGTCTGTTCCCTTCTAGACTTTACTGCCTTTCCCTGAGCTCTTTCCTTACTATCTAGCACTCCCCCCACAAACCTTGAGTTTGTCAGCCCCCCAACTGCCTCCTACCAGGGAGTAACTGTAGGGTACCTGTCTCTGCAGCCTCTCAACACTCCTCCCTTCTCCCAGGGAGCAACTGCAGACTTTCCCAGCAGTCCCCCTCTGCTTCCAATTTCTTGGCTTCATAAATCCAGCCAAGCTCCTTGCTCCTCAGCTGGGCTCCCCTCCTTCAGTCATGGGATTACTTAGCCACCTCATTTCCCTCAGCACTGGTCTATCATACTAATTAGCCATCTTCTCAATCTGCATTAACTTCTTCAGGGCAAGTGTGGGGTAAACACCCCATCACAGAGCCCTAATTGCAACTAGTTCTGCTTTCAGTGCCCCTTGTAGCTATTGGGAACAGCCAAGTAACTGCCAAAGAGAAGTACCTGACTAATGATACAGGTCCTCAAGTACTTCCTGCCTCATTTTAAGGAGATTCCAAATTGCGCTCATAACTTCACTGGGCACACAAATACCCTTGACTACTTCAGATTTGAATGTCATGGCAAAATTCATTCCTTTCATCTCCCTGCCCAAAAAGTCAAGCATTCCAGAAAATGACAGATCATCTGACAGCAATCAACATAATTATTCAAGTCCCATCTACAGAGACAAGGATCAAGAATACATTTGCTAGTTTCATGGTATTCAAAGTGACTGGTAACTTCCATGGTATCTTAAAACAATTAAGTTATAGGTGGAACTTTTTACAAAAAACTGTTTAGATTGACAAATATCCCATATATTTGTGATTCCATTAAAATGCCACAGCCATATTTCTTCTTCTACAGAGATTATGACAAAGTCTAAATGTTGATGTCAGTTATATTTTTCCTAGTGAAATATGAACCTTAACTATAGTATAATGAAAATAAGCTTCAGAGTTTATTTGAAAAGGACATTTGATATCTCTGCAGTATTAGACAAACAAACATTTACACGATACCTGTATCAGATGACTATACCTACCTTAAATAGGATTCCAGAACTCTATCTAGTCTTTTGTAGAAGGGTCGTGATGTAAAGTATCCACTCCAATAATGATTATCTCTGTCTGCATATGTGAAGAAATCTCCACTCAGAACAGGAAAAACTGAATTGCTGTTCTTTTCCTCCAAATTACCTGCTTTGCGCAGAGCCTCAAAATAATCGGATAAAGTCCCAAACTGGGCCTGAAACAAAATTATAAGAACTGTTCACGTGACTGACAGATTTCCATTTTCTTAGTTTAGAAACTTAGGGTTGAAGTGTATGAACATGGTGGCTTTAAATAGGTACTTCAGTATGCCTTCTGCAACTAAGGTCATCACAGAAATATTGTTTTAAATAAAGAAGCTTAAAAATTTCCCTTGACACCTTTGATTCAGGGTTAACATATATATCCCATCAGTAACTATTTCCAACTCACAAAATGAAAACTACCTTTTGTGTTTCCAAGTATAAAAACATTCTCTGTAAAGCAGCAACAGTTTAATCAAGAGTCAGATGAACAAAATAAGTTTTTCATTTCTCTTATAGGCACATATCAGGGACATGAGTAAATCTAGGCTTCAGCTGTAAGAAAACTGTCCTACATCTCTCTTGTCTCTCTAAAAGCTGCCTATTGGAGTTCAGTAATCCAGCATCCAGTAATCCAGTTTATGTAGATGTCTGAAGAGATTACCTCTCATATAATGAAACAAAAGCACCATTTTTTCCTTGATTCATTATTTTCAGTTTTATTAGCTATACTGTGTCACAGCACAAAGTTTCTGTTATGCTTTCAAAGCTATTTATAGATAATGAATAAAACCAACTAACATTTGCTTTCAAAGGCCTTCTGCATTTTTCTTCAAAAGTATGCTTACACAAAACAGTTACATTTTTATTCAAACTTAGTGTTGGAAACAGGAAACTGAAAAGTCTAAAACCCTTATGTTTAGTTTTAAGTGTATTTGTTTTAAAGAGATGATAGTTGAGCAAACTGGAGTTTGAATCACACAAAAAATTATGATAAATGGAGAGGGAACAGCATGGAGACATAAGACAAGCAACCTTCTTATGATCAACTGAGAATTTATACACTTGAAATAATACAATAATTAAAAAGGCAGTACTACACAAATAAGGAGCTTTATAAATCAATCCTTTCATAATGTTTATATTAAAATATGGAAACAAGACTTTTTCACAACCTTAAGTTAACTGGCAAGTAAGGTGTACTATTGTGAAAATAATGGTGTCCAGTTTGGGCGTTTTGAAAAAGGTATTTGAGTGATTTTGAATTAGTCTTCTTACACTAACGTCTTTTGTTTTCTAAGCTTGCTTGTTTTATGATATGTACTTCAGTAAATTCACACTGGAAAAAGATAAAATCTCTTAGAAGTACAGTAGTTCAATGTGGACGTTTTTGGTCATTCAGGCCTTTTACTTTTAATTTCTTTGTTATTCAACTCAACTAATGAACACCTAAAAATCTTTCATTGTGAGAATTACACATCCAGTATCCTTCCTTTCATTTATGATTTACATTTTTTTTTTTTAGGTTTAGGAATGACAATACAGTTATAAAATTAGGCTAAATCAATATTCATTGTCAACTCCCAGAACCAGGGCTGGTTCTAGGCACCAGTTGAGCAAGCAGGTGGTTGGGGCAGCCAAGGGAAAGGGGTGGCACGTCGGGCTCTTCGGCGGCAATTCGGCGGAGGGTCCCTGTCTCTCTCGGAGGGAAGGACCTGCAGCCGAAGAAGAAAGCGGCACGGTGGAGCTGCCACCGATCGCACCTTTTTTTTTCCCCCTCGCCGCTTGGGGCGGCAAAAACCCTGGAGCCGGCCCTGCACTGAACCCAGTATATGCCTGATCCTGCACCACTAAAAGCAACAGGAGTTTTACTCTTGACACCAATGGACACAAGAACAAGCACATTGCATGTAAGCAAATGAACAGTCCAACTATAGGGAGGATCAGCCACCTCGGACACTTTCATGTGCATTGATAGCGCTTCTACCGCACCACAGGATTTACAGATCTCATAACTCAGTGTGATTTTGCTATGTTGGCCACTAAGAAAGAGATGGTAAGGATTACTAATTAATGTTTATTTTAGTATGTGTACTTGCCTGAGAATTATGCTAGTACAATTTATCTTTCTGCAGGCATATCACTTGTTCACAAATTTATTACATGTTTAAGTTTTAGCCTGCTCAACTATTAGTATCAAAGATATAAAAACTCAGTTTAAAAAATAAAAAATCAACACTTAAAGGAAAGCGGGACCACCAAATATTTTCAAATCATTAAACACCTATACTCACTTTCAAAGTGCCATACACAGCTTTTATTTGAGAAACCATAAAGAACTTACTTTAACAGACAAAGAATAGCTGAAAATTACTATATAGCAAAGTCTTTCATATAGAAGGTAGTTTAGCATCTCTCAAACAAGGAAATTGTTGCTGAACTGCATGGGAATGAGTGAGACACAAAAAGCGCACATTCCAAGAAGTCAGGAAGCAAGAATTTACTCACCTTGTGCAGTAACGATGGTTCTTCGATATATGTCCCCCTATGGGTGCTCCACTATAGGTATGCTTGGGTCCCTGCACTGCTGATCAAAGAACTTTGGTAGCAGCGTCTGTTAGTCCCGCACATGCGCTGTCCCTCCTTGCGCCCCGCCAACGGAGGTGGGTGGGTTGTGGAGCACCCATAGGGACACACATCTTGAAGAATCATCATTACTGCATAAGGTCAGTAGCTTCTTTGAGTAGTGTCCCAATGGGTGCTCCACTGTAGGTGACTCCCAAGCAGTATCCCCACTGAAGGGCTGGAGATTCAGAGTTGGGTCAGTTACAGATGACAATTCTCTGGAGCAAAAGATTGAATCAGAGGCAGAGTCCCCATTGATCGCATAATGTTCTGCGAAGGTATAGACTGACACCCAAGTCATCGTTCAACAGATTTCTGAGATAAGGACATTCTTGAGGAAGATGATGGATATGGAGATGACCTTGTGGAGTGTGCATGAATACCAGTTGGAGATGTTATGTTGCAAACCTGATAACATTGCTTAATGCTGTTCGAGACCCATTTGGAGAGCCTCTGGGCTGATACTGCTGAGCCCTTGGATCTTTTTGAAATAGAAAGGAAAAGTTTGGGAGACTTCCTAAGAGCCTTCATCCTATCCAGATAAAGGCCAGAGCTCTCCTAAGGCCTAACACATGTAGCATAGCCTCCCTGTAATCACGGTGAAGCTTAGGGTTAAAAACTAAAAAGGTGGATCAGTTGGTTTACATGAAAAGGGGAAGTCAGCTAGGGTTTGAACTTCGGGTGTGGTCTGAGTGTGAACTTGTCCCAAAAGAATACTGTGTAGGGGGGATATGCCATCAGATCTGCTATTTGCCCTATTCTCCTAGACGGACAGCCAATCAGAGAAGGGCTTATTGGGAGCCAATCAGAGCCAGGCTCAGCCCTATAAAAAGACTGCTCAGGGAGGGAGCAGACAGTCTGCCCCCAGCCTTTGGGAGGGAAAGGTCTGTCTCCAGAGTGGAGAGACCAGCACCAGGGACAACACAGTGCTGGGCAGGCCCGGAGGAGCAGAAGGGAACTCCAGCCCGGTGTCCGTCAGGCTGCAGGCCTTGAGGGGAAGGGCCTAGCCGGTGCAAGGGGCCGAAGGGCAAGCAGCCCAGGGACGTGGACAGACGGAGGAAGAGAAGGAGGGCAGGACGGCTGCCACTAGAGGGTCCCTGGGTTGGGACCCAGAGTAGTGGGCGGGCCTGGGTCCCCCCCTTCCCTTACACCTGGCCGATGGGAGTGACCATCTTGGGCTGTACCAACCCCCTGCCAAGAGGGGTGTGACTTTGAAGGTGCAGTTGCCCACATTGGCTGGGGCACAGAGACACAGCTGATTGACCCCCGCCCCTCCCGGAAGGGGGCAAGGATGGACTAAGGGGCACTGCCGGAGGGCAGTGGCTCGAAGAGGACGCCGCAAGTTGGGAACAATGCGGGCCCACATGCCAACCAAGGGTGAGACGACAGACAGGACACCACCAGGATGGGGCGCTCTACTGGACTGAGCTAATTCCCGGAGTCACCAGCAGGAGGCACTGTGGTGGTGAGTCCCAACCTTGTCACAGGTACCAAGTCTGTCTTGGCCAGGTGGGAGCAATCAGTATGACATGTGCTCCTTCTCTTTTTATTTTCAATAGGACTTTTGACAGTAGGGGAAATGGGGAAAAAGCATAGAGAAGGTCCTTGGCCCACAGAAGGAGGAGAGAATCACCCAGAGAGTGCTGTATTATCCCTGCTTTGGAGAAGTAGTGTGGACATTTCCTGCTCAGGGAAGTGGTGAACAGGTTTGTGGTATGTATACCCCACTGCCTGAATAGGTCATGAAGCACCACTGGGTTTATCTCCCATTCATGGTCATGTGGGAACTTATGACAGACTGCATCAAATTTTGTATGCCAGGAAGGTAGGCTGTTGACCGGGTCATATTATGGGAGATGCATCTGTTCCATAACTTTAGTGCTTCTGCACAGAGGAACAGTGACCTGGCTCCTCCTCATTGTTTTATGTAATACATATAAGCTATGTTGTCTGTTAGGACTCTCGTGTGTTCCCTTGATCAGCAAGAGAAATAGGTGAAGGCACTCCTGACAGCCTTGAGCAAGAGGAGGTCAATGTGGAGAGATGTCTCCACGGATGACCTTTTGCCTTGTGTTGTAAGGTTGTTTAGATGTGCGCTCCATCCTCTGAGGGATGCATCGGCAGTGAGAAGTAACAATGGGGAAGTTTGCAAAAAGGGGATCCCTTTGCAAACATTTGCTGGGTTTTTCCACCAGTCCGGGGAGCTTTTGACCTTGGTGGGCAGCAACAGAGATTTGTCTGGTCTCTCTCTGGTCAGTACATCAAGCTGAACCACATCTGGAGACACCGCATGTGAAGCCTGGCATGAGGTATCCCCGCTGCACCAGCTGCCATATGCCCCAAGAGTTGGAGGCAGTGGCTGGCTGATATTTGGGGGCTCTTTTGTACTGTTTAAGTATGGTCAAGGAGAGGAACTTGTGCTGGGGTAGGAGCGCTTTGGCCTGTAACAAGTCAAAGTCGGCCCCTATGAATTCCAGGCACTGTACTAGGGTGAGAGTAGATTTCTGGCTGTTGATCTATAAGCCCAGTTCTGTGAACAAATCTATTGTGGTTTTGATAACCCAGTGAGCCTCATTGAAGTAGCGGGCTCTGAGGAGGAAATCATCCAAGTACGGGTAGACCATGAACCCTGGGATGGTATGTGAGTGGCCACTATTGACAGAACCTTGGAGAATACCCTCAGAGTCGATAGCCCAGTTTCCTATTCCAATGCTGGAATAAACATTGCTAGAGTGACCTTCTTGAATTTTTGAGCTGTTATTAACGTTTTGAGTGCTCAGAGATCTAGCATGGGTCTCCAACCTCCCTTCTCCTAGAGCATTAGGAAATAGTGACAGTAAAAAACACTTTGCCTCATAGATGCTGAGGTACTGGATTCATGGCTCCTAAGTGGAGTAGGCAATCTCTTATCACGTAAACTCTCGTGAGAAGAGTTCCTGAAGGGGGATGAGGAAGGATGCTGAGGTGGGGTGTGGGGGGGAAGAGGATAAAGTTAAAAAAAAATCTCCATGAACCATCAGTCTGATGTTATGTGTTCCCAAGTGCTGCAGAACATTGTCATAATTTGTCATTAAGACTTGATCATTTGTTATTCAAAACTGCAAAGTGGCAGAGGAGTAGGCCTTTCTCCCGAAGCGGTCCAAGCATTTCCAATCCTTAGCATAGGGGGACGGATCTCATTCGGTGCTGGCGGCCGCGGGATTTTACCATGTCCACAACGATGGAGTCGGGGGGAGGGTCAGAAAGAAGATATTCCTAGGCAGGATGTAATATTTTTTATAGACCCATTTACAAGTAGGCATCACCAATGCTGGGATTTGACATAGTTTTTGTGGAGTCAAGGAGACCCCTCATTGATGGGGAAGACTATTCTGGAGGAGGGGGAGGAGTATAGGAGGTTCAAGGAGTTTGTGGCGAGTGTCCTTGACATCCTCCAGGGGTATCTGCAACCTTTTTGCCAAGACCTGGAAGAGCCAGAAATAATCAGCTAAGAATGACTGCCTCATCTGGAGGAAGATATGTTGGTTCTTGGAGTAACCTCTTCCTCCATACCACCCTCCTGTTCCTCTATAATCTCCTCTGGAGGTTCTGGATACCATAGTCAAGGGAGAATGTCTCAGGGGCTCATGGATGAGGCTGAAAGCCCAAGAAGCTTATGCCGCCCAGGGATCCCAGTAGGGCCACCAGAGCGGTGGGATAGAGCCCCGTGGTGGTACCCATGGCTGGCCGTATCATGTCAGTGGTGGGGCAGGCTGAGGGTATGCCCGAGGAGCCCCTTGATAACAGGCATCATAGGGATCTTTGGAGGAGTGGTAGCAGATGACTTCCTCTGGCTCGCTCTCTGATTTGCTACTAGAAAGTGGAGGTGCATGGCAGGGTACCGGAGAAAACTCCCACACTTGGAGAAGACTTGGTACTGAAGTCCCAATGCCAAGAAGAGGAGACTCTGGTATATCAGCCGGAGTTCTCGAGTGCCAGAATTCTGGCGGTGCCATTGGTGGTATGGAGAAAGTCAGGGATGCTGGATGGGGCACTGATGGCAGTGCCAAAAGTACAGCATGTACTGGAAGTGTCTTCTTACTGGAGCGCTCTCTGCTCCAATCTTTTTCCACTGGATACTGTTGGCTTTGTGCATGTGCCCATCAGGTCCATTGTCCATCGACAATACCTGCTGTGACGTTATTGATATAAACTGGGACCATATAGATCATTGTTGCAACCAAGGTCCTGTAGTGGCACCCAAATAGTGTATAAAGGGGGTCAAATGGGGTGTCTAAGACAAGGTTATGGTTTACTGGTTATGATTATGCTGTCTTTGTGTGTATCAGTTTTGGTAGTTGAAGTTATGAATATTGGCTCTATACTGTCTGTATGGCAAACTTATGCTATGCTTCTGGGTGACATCCCAGACAAGCTGGGATTAGCTCTGCCTAGCCTGCTTGATGGCCCATTAAGGACCATCAGCTATACAAAGGACACATTAAAAGAAGGCAAATATGCCTTCAGACTCAGCAAAGTATGCAGGGACTGGCCCATGTGACTGCAGGCTCCATTTTGCTGTAATTTTCCACAGTAAGAACAAAGAGGTGTTCTTACACCTGGAAAAGACTATATAAGGCTGATGCCTCATCTCCATTGGGTCTTCAATCCTGCTTCACACCTCTGGAGGAACTTTGCTGAAGCTTTGAACAAAGGACCGAGGACCCATCCCAGTGGGGGATGTATTCCAGAGACTTGATTTGAACCTGCAGTTTATTCTATCCCTGCTGCAAGCCTGAACCAAGAACTTTGCCATTACTGTATGTAATTGAGTCCATTTAACCAATTCTAACTCTCATCTCTATCTTTTTCCTTTTATGAATAAAGCTTTAGATTTTAGATTCTAAAGGATTGGCAACAGCGTGATTTGTAGGTAAGATCTGATTTGTATTGACCTGGGTCTGGGGCTTGGTCCTTTGGGATCAGGAGAACCTTTTTCTTTTACTTGGGTATTGGTTTTCATAACCATTTGTCCCCATAACGAGTGGCACTTGTGGTAATACTGGGAAACTGGAGTGTCTAAGGAGATTGCTTGTGAAACTTGCGGTTAGCCAGTGGGGTGAGACCGAAGTCCTCTTAGTCTGGCTGGTTTGGTTTGCCATAGAGGTGGAAAAAACCCCAACCTTGGGCTATAACTGCCCTGTTTGAGCAATTTGTCCTGAGTTGGCACTCTCAGTTGGGTTCCGCCAGAACTGCATTGTCACATCTGCCACTCTAGATCTTCATAAGCCATGGGTACCAGGCTTGGATTGTCTCAGTGCCAATGATACCAAGCATGCAGGAGATCTTTTACGGCTAGCTCGGGGCTCACTCTGGGGGACTCAACGCTCTCTTTTTTGATAACTTATGAGAGGGATCTGCAGCTGGTTTCTTCAACCCACAGTCCTCGGATTTTGAGGGCTGTGGAGAAAACTTGCACGTTTGGGTGATGCCTGGGATGGATCCAGAGAAGGTTGGAGGGCTGCCTTCATGAAGATGATCTTCTGTCTTAACTCTCTGTCCTTTCAAGACCTGGCTGAGTTGTTGGAAGAGACCACACTTCTGTGTAATATGGCCTTCCCCAAGGCAGCATATGCAGCAAGAATGTTTGTCTGGCACAGGGACGGCCCCTTTGCAAGACAGGCACTTCTTGAAGCCCAATAAGCCAGGCATACCCCGTTGGGAGAAGGGGTCCCCAATTAAAAAAAAAGGGGGGGGGGAGAAGTCAAGGGTTTATTTTTGAAGAGAAAATACAGAGAAAAAAATACATGTAAGACTAAGACAACTAACTACTAATAAATAAATATATATCAAGATATACCTATCTCATAGACCTGGAAGGGACCTTGAAAGGTCATTGAGTCCAGTCCCCTGCCTTCACTAGCAGGACCAAGTACCAATTTTGCCCCAGATCCCTAAATGGCCCCCTCCAGGATTGAACTCACAACCCTGGGTTTAGCAGGCCAATGCTCAAACCACTGAGCTATCCCTCCCCCCCCATAAATGCTAAAGCAAGCTAACGATCGCAAATGGACTACTAAGGGCTTTGTCTCTAGCTGTGGCAGTTGAGAAGGAACTGTGGGGGGTTAGCCCACCATTGCTGGCTAACCTCGTGGCAGGACACAAGGAGGGATAGCACCTGTGCAGGCCTAATGGACACTGCTACAAAAGCTCTCCAATCAGCAACGCAGAGATGGAAGCACACCTACAGTGGAGCACCCACAGAGACACAACTCAAAGAAGAACTGGAAGCTACTCAAAGCAACAAGAGAAGTAAGAAACTCCCTTAAACCTAAAGGCTATTGTTTAAAGTAAACCACTGTGGCCATTGTTTATATTTCTTACCAGGTGCTATATATAGAATAATTTCAAGCCTCGGAAGGAAAAAAATAAAGTTAGTCTGGCTTGTCATTAACCTCAAGTACATTCAAACTCATCTATCAGCTGAACTATACATTTTTATTTTAAGGACTTTTCTTCTATTTTTAATTTTATTTTTACAGTTGTGGGATGAGTGGGGTTGGGGTAGTGCTGACAGCGGGTCTGTCGGGGTCCAAGATACCACGGCACAAGGTGCAGGGGAGGCAGTGATCATCCTGGTTCGCGAAGCAAAGCTGCTGGCCAGGACTGTAAGAGAGGATGAGCCCCGAGCTGTATGGGAGGCCAACCCACAGTTGAACAGTTCCTGCCCAGGGACAGTACCCACATGCCTGGCTGTGGTGAGTGAGTGAGCAGAGCCGTGACAGCAGAATTGCGGAAGTCTCCCTGCACTGCCACAAGAGCCACTCAGCAATATTGTGGTCTCCCCATGGCAGGAAGCTCACCCTCTTCCTCCTGCAAGTCATGACCAGGGGTCTCTGCGCTGCCTCACCAGGATTGCAGCGTTCCCCTGAAGCTTGAGCCTGCAAGGATTGAGTGTCACCGACCCTGAAGCAGTGCAATTAGCTCTCTGTAGAACCACTATCATGGACCTACTTACTCTCTGCCCTGACAGGAGAGCTGCAGAGGGCTGCTAAGGCCAGTGACAATCATCCATGCAGGCATGCTGACTGTTGGAAAAAATAATCTATTTACTGACAGCTATCGATTAAAATCATATCCTGCCAAGCCTAACTATAAAAGTTTATCAGTACTACCTTCTTTATTCACCAAGAGTTTCAGTTAAGCTATAGTAGCATTTAACTAGCTTTCTCCATGATGCACAACAAATTCATACAAAATCTCAGTATATCAGAAGGTGCTAACAAATGAAATAGGAGTACACAAAAAGTTTAAATTAGGGCTCATTGGTGTTAGTGCAGGACTACAACTATTTGAAAAAAATAAATATGCAGTTTACCTTAACATGTAACTCAGGATGAGAGTTCATAAAATCAAAAAGCTTTTGATAATTCTGGTACTGCTGATCCCATTCTGAGCTCTCACTGTAGCGGAAATCATCCCCTAATGGAGCCAACAGAACTTTAGTACGGAAAAGCTTTGACTTCTTTCTGTACTGATCTAAAATCATCCAAGCCCTTGGAAGAAGAAAATTATAAAATTTAGAATATAGAAAAGTAATCACTTGACAAGACGACAAATGTCAAACACCCTACAACTAGCCTTGAAAATTCTACTTGTCTTCTTACTTGTGATTTAAAAAAAAAAAATTTTTTTTTCCTCTCTAATAGCAACATATTAAATAGTGGATAAATAAGTTTAGCACCTGAGCTAGTGAAAGTGTTCATAACATTTGTAAGTCTTCTTTAAATAACGATGATTGCCATTAAAATCTTTTCAGTACTGCTTTTTTTCTAATTAAAGTTACCTAGGTACATTTAATATAAGAAATACTGTCAATACTGCAGTTACGTTAATTACATGCCAACAGTAGCCAAAGATTTTAGAGAAACTATAAATCTAAAGATTTTTAAAACAACAACAACTTACCTACTTTTAATGCATGTTCTCAAAGAGGTTGCAGCGTGTACACATTTAGAATGGTTTCCAAACCATTAACACTTAAAATTTGAGGAGTGGGGGGGGGGGGGGTTAAATGTTATATGTGAAAGTTTCTCTGAGTTACAAATATTTTTCCAATATATCCAAAATCTGTAAAAAATTTAATAAGTTGGTTCTTTTTTTAAGCTATATAAACTGCTTTTACTTAGAATAAGTTTTCTGTTAGTGTTCTCAATAATAGGTAGTTTTAAATCATGAATGAATAAACTGTAGTCATTGAGTTACGTGGTCTGCGGAGACTAACATAACCCACCTAGTATCATCAACATTTTCTTGCCTGCGGCCCATTTTATAGTTTGTCATTAGCCAGACTGAAAATGTTGAACTGCCTTGCCTGAACCAACACCTCTTGTGAGGTCAGACAATACTTTGAATCTAGGGTACGCAAGGTCCTCTCCTCAGAGAAATAGGTATCCTATCACTTACAAACTACAGCAACTGGCAGTATAGAAGAAAAGGAATTCCAAAAGAAGCTCATTTGTGGTTCAAATTTTACATGTGCACTCTGAGGCCAGACAACAGTTTGTCCATATTTGTGATCATTTGTCCAAAGCTACTTGTGTGATAGGGAAAAAAATAGGTTAATAAGCGAGGGATTTTCCCTTGGCCCCTCTTCTTTCCTGTCCTCCCTCTCCAATTTCTTTCTCAATCAGTTGCACAGATTGTTAATGGGTCTCTATAGCATAGGGAGGATGGAATACCCATACACTGAAGAACAATCAGGGCAAAACCCACCAAATCTCAGATCTGTTGGCCACGAGAAATATCTGTGTAATGGAACCATACCTCACCCCACATCTGAGGCCCCCTGGCTCCATCCCTTCTGGCTCCCTGGCAGCACAGTACCAAATGTGCACTTCCATACATTCAAGTGTTGATTTCTGTTATATTTGCCTAAACTCTGAATTCTGTTTTTTCTAATCTTTTGATTTTATAAACAGTCAATTTTTTTCAGCTTACATTATTGATATGTACTATCAGCATAACTATTTAAACATTTTTTCTCTTATGGGAATATTTAGTTTTGTTTTAAATTAATTGGATTAGATGTGGGAGTTATATGCAAAGATACACTGTATGCTCCCACTGCTCTCCCTCAGAGGGTATATCTACACTGCAAAGAAAAACCCATGGCGCTGAATCTCAGAATCCAGGTCATTTGACTCAGGCTCACATGGCTAAAAGTAGCAGTGTAGACATATGGACTTGGGCTCCAGCCTGAACTGCGAGACCCTCCTCTCTCTCAGTTTCTGAGCCCGAACAGCAACCCTGTTGTTTTAGCCCCACAAGCCTGAGTCAATTGACCCAGGCTCTGAGACTCAGTATCACTGGTCTTTTGTTCGAGTGTAGACAAACCCAGAGAGATCCTGATGTCATTCTGGTGCCTGACAGTATAGAAGTTGAAAAACAGATATGACCAAACTGTGTGACAAGCAAATTGTTTATACCTCTTCCTGGTACTCATAGAATGTAACTGACCCAAAAGTTGTAGACTTGTTTATCAGGAACTGCAGAATTAACACACTAGCTCAGTGTATTAATTTTAATTTCTCTTACAATTACCACTTTCATAAATTGTACTAGCAACTGTTTTGGGAATTGACACACATACAGTGAATATGTAATAAAAATTATTTCTCCTATGACAATTGTCTTTTTTAAACACTAAATCAAGCAAGTTGTGATGTTAATAAGCATCGCCTTCAACAAGTACAAAAACTTTCAAATTACTGAATTCCACAATACTTTCAGTACTGTACCTGTGCTGAACATTCCCAGTATGAATGGCCTCAGGAGGAACTCTCCAGGGACAACTTACTCTTCCTCCAGGAAGACGCTTAAAATCAAACTGGCAACAGATTTTAGGATCTGGACCACAAGTATGAGGAACGTCATAGCTGTAGAAAGGCATCATGTGGCAAAGGATATCTGTACTAGATCCCAAATCTAAAAGTACATGAACAGAATACATCTATAAAATAAAGCCATATTTCATTGTCTAAACTAAGTTAACTGTCTGGGCCTAATCCAGGAGTGCTTTTAATATGCCAGTTTAAAATACAGTGCCATTTTGGAGATCTGGACCCTGACTCTGCATCATTTAAGTCACCAGGAGTTTTGCCATTGACTTTAATTAATGTAGGATCACGTCTCTAATGATTAAATTATCTTAAAAGACAATACCTCAATGAATAATTAATTGTAATTGAATTTTCCTAAATTTTGTAACAGACAAAATCCATTCTTCTATATGTTTTTATCATTCAATTTTTCAGTGGTGCTTACCCAAAAGAATTCCCATTGTTATTAATTTGCATGGAGAAATCATTTATTTAGCTCAAATAAGACAGAGGTACATTTTTCAACAGGTCAGATTCTCTTTTAAAATAAGAATTTAAAATTTTAGTGGGCATCTCAGGGTTTTCTCTTGAAGAGGTTCTAAGTAAAACAGCACCAGGAATTACTATAAGATACTGATAAAAAGTAAATTAAGCACAAATTACTATCATGATTTTCTTAAACTGTCAACATTTACAATCCTTTGATTAGATATTAAATACTAGGATTGTGTTTGGTAGTTGGGTATAATGTAAGTCAACTAGAAATTTTGACATCTGCAGAATCTGGATGCAATGTGAGCTTAGTCATAGGAAGCAACAGGTAGAGCAAATTGCTGACTGTAAAGCCCATCTATCTTTATGTACCATCTATTTACGTCCTATGCTTTCAATATACCTGAAAACTTCCAAACACAAGAACTCACCAGATGATTTTGCACCAGAGTTTGGAGCTTCCCACTCATTTCCACTTTAAATATATGAATAATTCAGTAGAGAGGACAGGAAGAGGGGTGTGGTCCTGCAGCTAAGAATAAAGGTTGCTGTGACATGAACTGCTGTACTGTAGGAAGAGGGACACTGCAGAGGGTGGAGACAATGAGTGAAGGGAAGCCAACCAACCAGCAACCTGGTTGGGGCCTGGTTTTCAATATAACCTGACAAGAGAAAGACACTCTTATCCACTCAGAACTGACTCTAGTAAATCAAAACATCAGATCACCATGCATATGGGAAGTGGAATTGGAGGAGTTCTACACTGAAACCCAAAAAGAAAAAATGTCTGAAAGGAGTGTTAAATTATTTGAATTAAAATGTACAGCCTCAAGGTCCTTAGATTGCAAACACATATACATGTGCTTAAAGCAACACAAGACTACTGCCAAGCAAATGAACAGGAACATTCATTTCAATGGGTCTACTTCCACATACCTCTTAAAATGCTGCACATTCTGCTTAGAACATCCTCCCCAAATCTATTTGCCTAACCACCTCCCTCACCTCATTCAAGCTCTCCTAAATATTCAGTTCTGCCATTTTGTCTATTAAAAGCAAGGGAAAAGAAACAAATATAAATATCAAAAAATTCAAGATTTTTTGGGGGGAGGGAGGAATAAAAATCGTAATTGTCACCCTTCTTTCAAATTTTCCCCTTTATTACACTTTACACTTGCCAGACATGCAGAATTTAATTTGTAAACTTTTCTGGACAGGGACCGTGTCTTCACTTGTTTTGAGACACCTCTCTTTTTTAAAATCATCATTCAAAACATCCTAATTGAAGGAGCAAACCACAACGCAGTTGGCTCTCCCATGGTCCTTTACCCATCTATCAAATAAGCAATATTCGCTTGACTGGGATTACGATAATGGTATAAAAATCAATGCTGATGATAGTCATCTAAAGTAGGGACACATTACAGATTTAGATTTCTATTTATTATCAGGTGGAAGGCGATATAATTATATTACATACTAATGTTATGCTTTTAATACTTCTGCGTTATTAGACTGTAAACTGATTGGGGCTGAGTCATATTTCTCAGCATACTACTACATTGGAGTCCCAATCTTGATCAATAAATAAACACTAACACCCTAGGTCCTCTGCCAACTTTTGGCAGTCAATTTATGTAAAACTAATACAAGCTTTAAAGTTAGCATGTAAATAATTTTTAACATTTAATATTTCATAGGATTTTACCAAGAAATATGCTTAATAGATTATGTACTAGATTGTTAAGAGTTAGCTACTTTTTCATGGTGAATTTGTTCCGTCTTAATTTCAGATTTGTTAAGACCTTACGATCTCTTATCCACTCAAATCTAATTTCCCACTCTCCATGCGATTCATATCCATTCAGGACATCTAATATTAGGCAAAGGGTGCTCAATTAATATTTTTAAGTCTGCAGGCAATCAGCTTTTTAGGTGAGCTGAAAAATAGGGGTGGGAATCAGCTTTTTACTACTTTATGGATGTGAAAAAAAGACCTGAAAGTTTTGTCAAAAAAGTGTTTGATTTTTCCTTCGGGTCTTGGTTACACTTGAAAACTACTGGAGAGTTAATGAAGTTACGACAACACAAGAGACTGAAAACTGAGCAAGTGAGATAAGAGATTTTGATTTTTGCAGCAGGGGTCTTATTAGTACCTATTTAACTCCAATGGACAAAAAGATATGACACCTTCAATTGAGGTCCTGGTATTCACAATACATATACTCAGATATCCCCAAGAAATCCTTTGCAATTCTAGGGAAGAAAATATGCAACATTCCTGATGTTTTTAAGATAAAACAGCAAAAATAAGACCAAAAAAAGAAAGCCAGAGAAGTGTTTTGTTATCTATCAAACAAAAAAGGCCAAAACCATTTTTAAAAAAATCATTTACAGGAAGAATTAAAGGTGACTTCAGTTCTGAAAGACTAGAATACTCTGATGTGAACCCAAACCCTAGGACATGAACCGTATCATCGGTGTTTATTTTGACTACCATTTAGAAAAGCTATGTCAAGTTAGAAATTGAGCAGCATACACAAAAAATAAGTTTAACAACAAAAATTACTCCAGGATGAAGACAGTTTAACAACTTCACTCCTCTGGCACAATGGAACTTTCAACAATAGGGTAAAGTTAGCTCATGCAGTACACGGAACTTTCTCTGGAGCCAAGGCAAACCAAAACTGTGGAATAAACTCCCACAGGAACTAATGACCATTACAAACCTCACCAGCCTCCGCTTTACACGAAAGGCGCATGTTTTTGACAAGGTCTACTCTAAATCCGACAAATAGCAAATGTTAATTATTTTTTAAAATTCTGAAACAAAAACATCCCACTACACACACTTCTCCCTCTGGGGAAAGAAGGAATGAACTAATACATGACAGATTTTAGTCATGCTGCTTAATGCACTACTGGAAAGCACTCATACTATGTAATGAGCATGGTGTAAAAACATGTACAAAAACAGACTATATTTCTAGCCAATATCCATCTGCTGACATTTACTTACTATACTGGATACTTAACCTTTAAACCTGATCTATATCCTGCTTGAATTTTTGAATAGGGTTTGTTTAGCTAGAGCTGTTAATGAAACTTAAAGGTTTTTTTTTTTTGTTATTAAAGGGGACCTGAATACTCACTTAACAATTCTGATGTACTAGATTAAACTTTAGCCTTTGCATTCTAATTCTACCACCCCAACTGTCTGAGAAGATGAATTACTCTTAAGAATCCTGCTTAGTAAATTCTGTTTGAGAAGATTATTCTTAAGTCCTGCTTGACAACATTAAAAACAAATGGAAGAATCATATTCTTCTACACCTTCAAATCTCAGCAAAATGCCTGAAAAATTTTGTTGCAATTTTTGTTGTAAGAAAAAAAGTCTCTCTCTCGCTGCACCCTTACGCTACTCTTCCCTCTTTTCCCCTTTTTTTCCCCTTCCCCAACTGAAAAAAGTAAGAAGAGAAAGCAAAATAGAGAGAGAAGGGGAGAAAAAAAAAGTTTCCCACTTTTTACTTCTTCCCGCCCTCTGAAAACAAGGGGAAAACATTTGCTTTGTTTTAAAATGTGAGAGAAAGTAACTTAAAAAAACCCACTTTTCTCCACCCATCTTTCCAGAGGGAAAGAATGTAGAAAAATAAGACAGGAGAAAAAACAAAATTAATATTTTAAATTCAAAATTAAATGACATTTGTCTTTTTCTCATTTTTGTCAGAAAAGAAGAAAATTCTGAAAAAAAAATCAAAATTTTGAACACAATGAAATGTGTTCCTTTCTTTAAATGTTTTTTGCACCAGTAAAATATTAAAATTTTGACTAGCCCTACTTTTAATTACTTAATACATTCTGCACTAGGTTTGCTGTAGAGGTTTTCACAACTGTTTATTCAATGCCTATTTCCAATTCTCAGGAGGTATAAAGCAACAAATGACATAGTGATACCAAGAAAACAATACATACCCCAGTTCTGTCTCCAAAAAAATTCTAGTGTCTTCTGGGTTGCAAAATATTTTTTAACTGAGTAATGAACTCTCTGTATAAGCATGTTGGAAAATCCTGAGCGTTTCAGAAGGTAAGTCATTGTTGGCGAATGCCCAAAGGGATCGATGGCCCAACCAGACTTCGGTTTTACTCCTGTTGAGCAGCAGAATATGTCAGAAGTTTGTATCTTTCTTACTTATTTCTCATTTCAAAGAAAGCTACACTCATATTATTCAACCCAGTGTTCAGAAAAGTCAAGTGGTGAAAAGCACTTAGTTTAAGAACACAAGAACGGCCATACTGGATCAGACCACAGGTCCATCTAGCCCAGTATCCTGTCTTTGAACAGTGGCCAATGCCAGGTGCTTCACAGGGAATGAACAGAACAGGTAATCAAGTGATCCATCCTCTGTTGACCATTCCCAGCTTCTGGCAAACAGAAGCTGTGGACACTTCAGAGCATGGTTTTGCATCCCTGTCCATCCTGGCTAATAGCCATTGATGAACCTATCCTCCATGAACTTACTTATCTTGTTCTTTTTTGAACCCTGTTGTAGTCTTGGCCTTCACAACATCCTCTAACAAACAGTTTAAGTAGATAAATGAAAGAAAGAAAACAAGTCTGCTTAAGACACTTTATCATTACAAAGTCCAAATTAAATATTTAAATATATATATATATATATATATAAATGAAGCATATACATATATAATTACAAGTAGGCCAATCTCTTGCCCTTAATAAAAACCTGTACAATAGAGTCTATAGTATTTCCACTATTGCTGTCTCTTGCATTTTTGTTGTGTCACAATATTTCATATTTTACTTAAAACCCCATTAATCAGTTAGAATTATACAAAAATGTCAGCTTTCATTGAAAAGGTAGTAGTAAGCATCTGGCCCCTACTTCTAGAGAGAAAAGGTGGAAAATGTGAATGCTGTAAGCTCAAAAACGAGATGGCAAATAAAAAGGACCCACAATTATTTTGAAAATCTCATGATATTTTGGACCTGATTCATGAATTTTGAAAAGTTGGCAGAGACAATACTGATGATTCCCAAATCCTTCATGAAACCATGGGTTCACAGGTGCTATAGTAAAGCAAATTTTATTCCCCATTTATTATGCTTAAGTAATATAAGTTTCTTCCACAGATCAAGACAGAAAAAATAATAGAATGGAAAATAGTTTACCTGCTCTTAGCCTGGGAACCTATATTTGCAAATGAGCATCACAAATACAGGTGCCAATCCTGCAATTTACAATGTATAGGCAGACCACTGCACCCACGCCATGTCACTGACTGCCACTTCAGAAATTGTGAATCAGGTCTGAAGTCACTTTTCAGAATTATGGCTGTCTTAACAGAGTAGACATGAACAATATTCCTCACATTTAGACTTTCAGAATCATAAACTCAGCAAAAATGTAACTATCTTCGCACAGATTTGTTTCTCTGAAAATAGTTTAGCTTGCACTGATGCCTACTTATAGTCAGTCACCAAAACATTGTACAACACTTGCTGACTGACTTAGTTCTTTGTCAGTGTTTAAGTTTAAAACAATCAAGTTGGGGGACAAAAATTACATATATATATACCTAGAGTCTTCTCCAGCCACTGATGTCCTTCTATCAGCTGGTCAATTAAAGCAAAGTAATGAGGAGAAGCTTCATCAGGCATGACCCATCCTCCTGATACTATTTCAAACTGGCCATCTTCTATTAATCTGGGAGAAAAATATTTAGTAAACTTGTGTCCAGAAGTGCAAATCTGATTTAACAAAATAATATATCTATAAAGTAAAAATCCATGAAATTTAGTGTTCACAGTAATAGCACTGAGCATGTAAAATCTGAACTACTAAACCATAAAAGGGAATATATTGTAGCTCTTATAGAATCCATTAATTTATTGTAATAGATGTTCACATGGGAATAGAGCCAAAATATCTAAAATTAACTATTTCACTGGAAACCATTTTAACAGAAATATTAATGAGCTTATCCCACAATCTCAATCTTTTTCCCATAACCAACCTACCTAGGGGACAAAGCCACAAAATGCCCTCCACACTGTCAAACCTTCAGCTTCCCATTTCTTAACTTCCATTATACAATTATGCACTGTCAATGCAAAAATCTTGCACATGCAAATATTGAAAGTCTAGGTTGCTGTAAATTAAGCTGAATTTAACAGAACACCACAGGGGATGCTGTATTAATTGTTCTTTAATTTCAAGTGTAATTCAATAAAAGCCTCCATTTTAGAAAATTAATGAAACTTGTAAGGTTACCTGTCTGCCACACAAACCAAGTATTTAGATCCAGTTTAATGCAGAGTACACAGGGACTTGCTTATAGCAGTCGCTGCCACTCCCACTATAAAAAAGAGCCAAGGCTATAAGAGCTGCTCAGCACTAACAAAACTGGACACTAAAAATCAACCCTAAACATCAAGTAAACCATATTTTGATGCTATTGTGACCAAACATTTCTGTATTCACACCCTAAGCACTACTGTAATAATCTTTGTACAAAATATGCCTTGGGAGGTATCATTTGAAAATTAAACTCACTGGTCAATAATATCTTGAAATGAATGTCGCAATACTGAGTAAAGTTATGAAATCTCCCCGTACGATGTTAAAGGCACATATTCAAACTCACGTAGCCCCAATTAGGTAGAAGTGGTCAAGTTAGCCTGTCTTAACTAAAGGATGTATGTTTAACACAATTTGCATACCAGCTATAAACAGAGTCCTCAAACAACGAGAGAGTGAAAAAAGAAGAAACAAAATCTGCATTTCATCATACACAAGTGAAAAGAAACAGTTTAACCTCTCTTCCCCACCAGACTCCATGTATCCTTGCTCTTAGCTGGAAAGAACTTTATCTAGGAGTCTCAGGAAAATACATTTCAAAGGGTGACTGAATTATAAAAGCGAGGGGACAATAACACCTAGTTTGTCTTTTCCTGTCCATCTCTCTTTTCACCCAAGACGACAAAAGAAACCGCTACTGGACCTTACAAGCAGATCCTAGCCTGAGAATTTGGTCAGCAATGCACCGAAAACCTGTTGTAAGAACTTCAGCTTAAACCAAGTCTAGTTTGTTAAGTTTAGTACTAGGAAACATTTCATCTTTATTTTTCTTGTAATCATTTCTGATCTTAATGACTTACAACTTGTATTCACTTAAAAATCTCTCTCTTTGTAGTTAAATAAACTTTTTTTGTTCTTTAAATCAAAATTCATCCAGTGTTGTGAACTGTTTTGGGTAGCTCTATTTAAGGAGGCAAGTTGTTGTATATTGTTCCCTTATAGAAACAACGGACCTAAAACACCTGAACAGTCCAGGAGAAAGCTGAGAAGTACAGAACACATATTTTTAAGGGAAAATTTGGGACTGGGAGTGTGTTGGGGTCACCCTGCAAATAATAACCAAGGCTGGTGGAAGCCAGAGTGCGGCTGGTATTTGCTGACAGGCTGCTGGGATCATAGTTCCTAACAAGAACTGTGGCCATTAACGGGCACTCAGGGTGTGACAGGCATGCTGTTTGTGGAGTGGCACAGGTGGTAGCTACAGCAGCAAGGCGCTGTGAAGCATCCAACATTGCAGGGCAGAGGTGACATAGCCCCTCATTTGTCTGAATTGCACCCCAAAATGTCATAGCTATCAGAGAAAGCTGTCTTTGAGATAAACCATTGCACAACAGAGACCAACACAGAGACCCTAGATAGTTGTTAGCAATCTAATAAACAATCTTAGTATAGACTAACTTTACTATAGATCAAGTTCAATAAAAGTGACTCTGCACTTTATGAGCACTAGAAAAATATTTTTAAACACTATATACACATAAATAAATAGCAAGACCTAAAAAAGTAGATGGTCTCAAAGCACTCTGACCATTTTTAACTTTCATAGCTAATTCACGCTACTTTTAAGCCAGGAAGATCAGTGCTTAACAATTCATACATAACACGGGTACTGAGTTCCACTAGAAATATAGTACAATTCCTTTCAAAGAGTAAATTAATTGTACATCAAATTGTGCTGTTTTTTTTTTTTTAATCAGAACAAGACAAGGTTAATTTGTTCCTCTCTGCGGAGATACAGTAATAGATATTTCACACAGTAATTTTGTTTTTGCTTGCCATCCTGTTTTTTATATATTTTTTCTTGTCAAGAGTTAGTGAGACTGATAATATAACAGACCTCTAAAGAAGCTTGAAAGCTTGTTTCTTTCACCTACAGAAGTTGGTCCACTAAAAGATATTTCACCAACCTTGTCTAACATCCCAGGACCAACATGGCTAAAATGCTGCAAAAACAAATGTAACTGACCAATGTGACTGGTTTATAAAACTAGTCAAACTATTCTTCCCCCCAAAATGATCTCAGTGACAACTACTGTAATAAATATTTGAGAGACAGATTAAGAGAGAAAACATCAAAACAAGTCCTAGAAAAATGTGATCTCTGTAAGTATTAAATAAAAATATCAACAACAAGGATCTTTCTAAACACATCCAGAAAGAAAGAAGCTTGATTCAACGGATAATACCTCTGCAACCCACTGCCAAGCAGCTATTAGTCAGGCAAAAAGATGGCTACCAGGAGGTCTACTCTAAGAAGTCAGCAAGTTCAGCAATACTTTAAAATTTCCCATTAGCTTGTTTTACCATGCAAAGCAAAGGGAAAGATATGTAATTATGCACATATTCTAGGACTAACCCCCTTACTTCAGACTTTTGTAGATGAAAAAAATCTAAAAGGAGACTATGGAATCTTGGACACAAGCTTTTCTTCTCTCCTTGTAAACATAAATGTTGAATTTTTTAGTATGCTACATTATTCCAAATGGCTTTATCAGAGGGGATTTTAGATCACTTGGTGAATGGACTTTAAATTGTAGGGCCAAATTTTGCCACCCTTATTCACATGGAATAGTACTGTATTCTGTAAAAAAATCTCATTGATTCAGAAGCCACTTGCATAGTAAGGTACTAGAGCCAGATTTAGAAGGTATTTAGGAAACTAAAAATGCAGATAGGTTGATTTCAATTATTTCACCTAGGTGTTTTTGAAAATTCCACTAAATGCCTATCTGCATTGTTAGATACTTAAAATACATTTTAAAAATTTGGTCCCTAGTCACTAGGAATAGAGGTGGCAGAACTGGGTAGTTTCTGAGCTTCTGCATATTGAGTATCATGGCAGTGGAGGCCACAACCATGGCAAAGTCTTGGACAAGTGGAGAGACCAGGCCTCGTGGCCTGCTCAGAAAGGTGCTGCTTCAAGCGTAATTCACTGACCACCTGGGTTCTTTTGGTGAACAACTTAAATATAAGAGCACCGCTCCTTAGTACGCCCCTTGCCTGAACACTGCAAGCACCTCATGTAGGGATCACTATTAGGAATCACTACACTCACTCTACAGGTAGTATTTGAACCCTAGTGAGGGCATCACACAGGGCAATAAGTATCCTAACACTATCTAGAATACTAACTACATAAAAACTATATACAGTACATGGAAGGGTAATTCTTAGAAAACAGATAAGTGAATGTGAAGTGATATCCACTGAGCTCCAACTCCAGTTATGGGCAGTGAAAAGGAACTGAGGGGGGGTTGGAGTGACACCGCCTCATATAGCTAGAGGGTGGGCTACACCCATAAGGCATGAATACTGTCCCTACGTGTACTGCTAGGCAAAATTCTCCAGCTCTTATGTGGAATACACAGCTGCATCTACCTGAAGAAGAAACAGTATTAACTAAGCTGATTGGCAATGGTCTCAGCACACAAATGGCCTAACAGTTAACCTTCTAGAGGTTTTACAGAAGAGTTTTAAAAGAGGGGTTTTGAAGGAGGATACCAAAGTAGTTGTGCAGATGTTCATAAGATGCTCTTCCCAAGCATGAAGGTCAGCATGGGTGAAATCACAAACGTGCTTATTTGAAAATTTAACAAGTGGCCGATGAAGGCAGGAGTCAACATACCAATAGAGAATGTGAGATGATAGGTAGGGTGGAGATAGGCTGTGAAGGGCCTTGAAAGCGAAGACAAGTAGCTTACATTTGATATGATAGAGGGGGCAAGCCAGTAGAGGGATGAGAAGAGAATGACATGGTCAAAGCAAAAAGCTAGGAAAATCACCTTTGCAGCAGCATTCTAAATGGATATGAGCAGGTCAAGATTGCATTTGTCAAGGCCAAAGAAAAGGATACTGCAGTAACAGACATGAGATGACATGAGATGATGAGAACTGGGACAACAGTTTTAGTTCAATAGTTGGATAAGAAAGGCGGTATCTTAGAAATATTATGCAGAAAGAATCAGCAAGATTTAGACAGTCTGAACATGAGGAGCCAAAGGAGAGGTCCAAGTCAAACACCCAAGTTAAGGCCCTGAGTAGCAGGCAGGATGTTGGTGCCATCCAGCAATTGAGAGAGGACTTGCAGGGGAAGATTAAGAGCTCTGTTTTAGACTTATTGAGCTTAAGATGAGTGCTAGAAATCCACTAGGATATGTCAGAAATACAGGTCAAGATTTTAGTTTGAACAGAAGAACACAGGTTTGGAGTAGAGCGGTAGCACTCTGAGTTGTCAGCAACAGATGGCAGTTGAATTTTTGTTTGTAAATGAGATTACTTAAAAATAAGGTGTAGAGGAAGAAGAGAAGGGGGCAAATGATAGAGGCCTGTGGAAACCCCACAGAAAGTTGGAGGGGGATGAGGATCATTTAAAGAACAAGTTTAAGGAGTGATTAGAGAATTAGGAAGAGAACCAGGAAAGGATAGTCATGGAATCAAGAGGACAAGATTTCAAAAAGAGCATGGTCAATGTTATTGAAGT